TGATTGTACGGAAATTCCTAAAATAAGTTCTGTAAAAAGTTCCGAAGTAGTTTATTGTTTTTGTTTTTCTTTAAATATATTTGACAGCAATTGTACAGACTGAACACACTTAACATTAGACAAAGGACAACACCCAACACCCAGTAGACCAGTAGGGACATTTTCGGGTTGCGAAAAGTTACACCGGCTGGAACGGGAATCGAACCCTCACTTCGTGGCACTCAGAATACGCCTGAACGACGGGTGACACCGCTAACCACGAAGTCCATGCATTTTTTAGTTGACAAATTTTCAGAATCACTGATACAGAGAAAATAAAAATTTGAATGATTAATAAGATTCCGAATCGTCTGGTTATTCTCCATTGTTCATACTTAAAGGGTGATACGGTCAAAATTTGGTCAATATCAACTTGACGTATTTCTTTCAATTTTGCATTTAAAAAACCTGAACACCCCTCATTTTGAAGGTGTGTGTGTGTAGAATGTTGCTCCTATTTTGATTTTGGAATTCACTCTTCAGTTGTCAAAATGCCGTCCAAGCAAGAAGAGCAGCGTATCAAAATTTTGCTCGCGCATCGCGAAAATCCGAGCTACTCGCACGCAAAGTTGGCAAAATCGCTAAAAGTTGCCAAATCAACCGTTACAAATGTAATTAAACTGTTTGGGGAACGTTTGTCGACAGCCAGGAAGTCTGGATCGAGGGGAAATCGAAAACCGGAAGCCGCTGAGACGACAAAGAGAGTTGCCGGTAGTTTCAAGCGAAACCCTAACCTCTCTCTCCGAGATGCCGCAAATAAGCTGGGTGTATCGTCTACAACCGTGCATCGAGCCAAAAAACGAGCCGGACTATCGACTTACAAGAAGGTAGTGACTCCAAATCGCGATGATAAACAAAATACGACGGCCAAAGCGCGATCCCGGAGGCTGTACACGACGATGCTGACGAAGTTTGACTGCGTGGTAATGGACGACGAAACCTACGTCGAAGCCGACTACAAGCAGCTTCCGGGACAGGAGTTTTATACGGCAAAAGGAAGGGGAAAGGTAGCAGATGTTTTCAAGCACATGAAACTGTCAAAGTTCGCAAATAAATATCTGGTTTGGCAAGCCATCTGTACCTGTGGCTTGAAACGCAGCATTCTCATAGCTTCCGAGACTGTCAACCAAGAAATTAACGTGAAAGAGTGTTTGAATAAACGTCTGCTACCTTTCCTGAAGAAACACGGTTGTTCCGTACTGTTTTGGCCGGATTTGGCATCTTGCCATTACGGTAAAAAAGCCATGGAGTGGTACGCCGCCAACAACGTGCAGGTGGTTCCCAAGGACAAGAACCCTCCCAACACGCCAGAGCTCCGCCCAATTGAGAAATACTGGGCTATTGTCAAGCGGAACCTAAAGAAGACCAAAAAAACTGCTAAGGGCGAGCAGCAGTTCAAGGCAAACTGGCTTTCTGCGGCGAAGAAGGTGGACAAGGTGGCTCTACAAAATCTGATGGCAGGGGTCAAGCGTAAGGCCCGGCAATTCGGATTTGGAAAAGCGGAAGCCTAACTGAATATTTTTCCTGAATTTTATACTAATTGAACTTGAAAAAGAAATTTAATTTGATTTTTTAAATAAACGAATTCACCGATTTACAAGCGTTTTCCCTTGACCAAATTTTGACCGTATCACCCTTTAGAAGAGTTTTCAAGATCTCAGAATGAGATTCATTTTTCTGGTGATTTCTGGAGCATGAATTCAAAATTGAAAATTTAAAGAATCATTCAAAATGCCGGATGATTTATCATTGCTAATTCAATATAAACCAAATATCTGAGACATCGAAACATTTTATGATAGTTACAATCAGCGTTGCCAGGTTGCCAGATTTATCTGACATAGCCAGAGAAATTTAAGCTCTGTCAGACAGATTTTTTGAGAAATCTGGCAGCTTCCTATGTTAATTTGCTGTGCCAGATTTTTGCCAGACATTTTTTCGGGTTTAGCCAGATTTTTTCAAAATAAGCCTGGCACCTCTGGTTACAATCCACAATTTATCAAAATTTTGGATTCCAACAAAAACTCGATACTCTCGAATATTGCGAGGGGCACGCAATACAAAGAACCGGTGCGTTGAAGTTAAAATGCAATCAAAAGTACTTGAGGTAATTAATGTGTTTTGAAGTAGTACTGACGGTAATTAAAATTATATTATTTAATAGTATTGAAAATGTAATTTATGTATTTTAATTACGAAATTTCAACTGTAATTAATGGAGTTAAAAAGTAGTTAATGTTCTTCAGTGTAATTAATGTAATTAAAGCAGTAGTTAATGGAATTCATTTAATTACAGCCGTTGTCTGCGTTGGAGTTAAAGGTTATTGCGTGCCCCTAGGAATATTGACATTTTTAGATAGCTGAGATTTTAAACAAATTGTGATTCTCCGAACCAAGTAAAAATTAATGATATAGCTTGGATACCAGTTCTAACGACATTTCGCGCATATTAACAGGGTTCATTTTTTATTTGAACTTATAGTAAACTGTTTTTTTTTTTTATTCTGCGTTCTGTTTCGGGTCGTTCCATTTCACTTTACTCCATTCCATGCGCTAAATGACGTTTGAGAAAATTTTGATTTGTGCGGCGTGCGGGTTCAAACTAAAAAGTTTTCAGATTAAGAACGGTTAGATTACCGGGTTCCACGGTATTATAATCTCCCTTTGTATGACGGGTGAAGCCACCTTTGGTTTAGGAAATAACCTTTCCAACGGTACAAAAACACTTGTTAAAAGATAAATAGAATCCGAGATAAATTATTCTAAAAAAAACGTCGGGTTGATTTTCAAATTGGTTCTCGAAAATTACAAATGTTTAGATCACTGGTTTAGTATTAAAATAATTGGATATTATTAGTAAAAGCGATTTATTTGGAATATTGGCTTGGCCATAGTTTCTGCTGAGAAAAGGATATTCCTAAACTTTAGAACAAAGTAGGCTGTGCTGGAAACGGTCGTGTTTATTTTTGCTGTCAAGATTTTTTCTCATGATTCCTCGCTCTGAAGTGTTTTTAATGAAAAACAGTCCCCAGTTAAGTGGATTGTAACCTGAAATGTTAGTTTATGTGGAACGTTCCACTAGTGAACTGCAATCGAGCTGTACATTCCACGTACCATCCGAGTCGTTACGGGACCAACCGTTATGGATCAGGTAAAGCCTGGACTTTTCCAAGATCTCTTCCATCCCGACAATCTCATTTGTGGAAAATATTACGTTGCGGACAATGCCGCCCTGAGAACCCTTTCACATCGGGGAGCAGCCGACCAACGGAAACATGGATGACATCCGGAGAGAGGCAGAAGAACCCAACAACTAACAAGTCTTTTTCATGTTCTACTCGTTCGATGGCGGTACCGGAAATGGAAAGCCTTGGTTTGAGAAAAGTTTCCAGTTTATCAACGATTTCTCGCGGTTTGAATTCCACGTGATGTTGACGGACAAGTTGCATCGATTGGGTAGGATTTTCAAACACATGCTTGAGCCTTGCTGGGAAAAGATATTAAGATCTAAACCAGGCCGTTATTGTACAAAATCGTAACAGATAGAACTCGGGCGTAACTGTACGGAAAAAGTAATAAATATATTACAATTTAATGTATGCTTGATCCGGTTTTTAAAACAACCGGACCGTTAATCAAATCCAGAGACCACCAGCATGGTCTTGCTTTGTAGCTGCGCCTTTACCGACTGAGCGAAGGGAAGGATGATGACATGAAACCAATTGACGAAAACTCGCACTTTTATCACACTTTCAAATAAGTGAAAACGCGCTTATCAGTCCAGTTTGGTGTGAAATGTGCAATATATCAAAGCGGCCAGTGTGCATCATTTAAGGGGCAAGATGATTCAGAAACACCGATATCCAATAAATGAATGTAACGTAATGTCATTTATAAATTATCATCAGAATCATCCCTATGTCCTTCATAATCCTAACCGAGAAAAGAAGTCGATCTGGAAACAAGTTTAACGATTTCTATAGAAAACTAAATCTACCTCTCTCAATCACAATGGAGCAAAACATTTGTTCAAAATCATATATAAAAAGAAACCAATTTACAATTAATCAACATTCTACCTGTCAAGTGAGTGTAGCGTGTTCTTTTAAACAACACTTTAACACAACACATCCACAACTGTGAATGAGTATGCGCACAAACTTTTTCTTCTCTTCCTCTGTTCGATACCCTTCGTATGCCGTCTAGCTATAGTCACTGTATTCGTAGTCTGGCAGCGTCAATAACAGGACAGGAGCCAATTGAGCATGGCATTTTCTGTTTGGATCAATGTGGTGGAAGTATTGTGATCGTGTCGATAACTAACTCGAGCAATCAGGAAATCATTTTTGGTGGCATCCCTAATAAAATGGTTATATTGCTTAACGACGTATTCAGGATATCATCCAAACCATTTGTGGAACAGTTCTCTCATTTGGGTTACCGTTCGGGTATGGTATTTATTTATTAGGGATCAATGTGCTCGTGAATGTACTGATTTTTCGTTTTTACGGGAAGCATAGACGTGGATAATGTGTTGACGGAAAACAATGCTTCTGGATGATTCTTTTTGTAGTGATAAAATATTGTGTAGACTTATATTCAAATAATTTTGTCATACCATAACATGTTCATATCGTATTCTGCATACAATTTTGGTTGGTTTCAGTCCTAGGCACAATCGCAATTTGGCCAAAGCTATACGTTGAAAAGTGTTAGTTGATCGATATTTTGTTCCATATATTTCGTATAAAATTTGTTTTAAAACATTGATTTGTGATAGTGCTCAGACACAACAATTATTATTTATTTCGCGTGAATTAAAAAAAGATTTTAATTGCATAAATCTAAGTTGCCAGTTTGCTGGATTTTGTATCCGCCGGACTATAAATATAGTTGCTATTAATACGTAGACGAATAATACGTCTACCATCTCTCTGACTTCACTAAAACAGTAATTTAGTCGTACATCGCCTCTCCCCGTGGCATCAACCAGCCGGTTGGTGCTCGCTTGCGATCGATAGCTATTCTTAGCTGTACGGGAATGAGTTGCATTTCGATGTAAACAACGATCGATGCGGAGTGAAAAATGGAGGATCCTGGCGAGGAAAGCAATCTTGTGGTGGACGGGAATGCTGCTGCGATCCCAGAGGAAGGAAGTCGTCCACCGGGTAGAGGCCTGTTCATCCTGGAGCCTCCAATTTTCCTAATATCTTTTGCACTCAATGTATCAAGTGAGTAGATGTGAATGTGAACTCGATAGACGATGGTGAAAGCTTTCTTTTGGCAGCTGCTGTGTTCACCGATCAGCTGGTATATCAGGCGTGCGTCGTTTCACTGGGTATCAACCAAACGGAGTGTGATAAACTCGGTAAAGAATATGAATCTCCCGAAGTGCAAGCCCTGGAAGCTCGGGTGCAACCCTATTCGGCGGATATTCTGATGGCTGAATCTCTGGCAGATTCAATTTTACCAGCCTTTATGAATCTTTTCATTGGACCATGGTCCGATCGATTCGGTCGGAAACCTGTTCTACTGCTCACCTTCATCGGCTGCACGCTGTCTCACTTGCTCATAACTGTGATATGTGCCCTATCTAGCTGGTACCGACTGGATCCTTGGTACTACGCTATATCATTTGTACCTTCTGCCCTGTCCGGTGCCACTTGCACCATGCTGACGAGTGTGTTTTGCTACATAGCTGACGTTACCAGCGAGCAGGAGCGTGGCAACAAGTGAGTGTTTACACGGTAAGCCGCTTTCAGTATTACAACTAATATTTTGTTTTGCTTGAAGAATGTCCGTCATGGAAGCAGCGCTGTACAGCGGAATGCTAGTGGGAAACATTAGCAGTAGTTTCATTCTCAGATTGACCAATGCCTTCACGGTATTTGCCATTTCTACCGGTTCGTCGATGTTGGCTGTGCTGTACATAGCCTTTAGCGTGAAGGAAAGTGTTCAAATTACCGAGGAAGATCGTTGCGAGTCGTGCTGTTCCAAGTTGAGGTTCCTATTCCGGCCCAGAATGGTGCTAGATACTTTCAAAACCTGTTTCAGTTGGAGATCAAACTACGGAAGGGCTATTATTCTCATAGGAATACTCACACTGGGAGGAAACATATTTGCCATCGAGTCCAACAACACAGTGTTCTTCCTGTTCGTCCGGAAACAATTCAATTGGGCTGTCAGGAAATATTCATTCTACAGCTCAACAGAGACAGTGCTGCTGGTGATGGGAAACCTACTGGCAACATATATCTTGGAGAGGCTAATAGGATTAACCGAGGCAGGTATCGCATCGATTGGATTCTTCAGCTGGATGGTGAACAGCATTGCTATCGCAGTTGCTTCCGAACCGTGGCACTTGTATTTAGGTAAACTATATCACAGATATAAATTTTCAGCTCTTTTCACAAATTCATTCCACACTGTAGCAATCGCAATCTGCACGCTGAAGGGTGTCACAGATCCGATGACGAGGGCTTTCATTTCGAATGGAGCGCCTCCGGAAGCTATTGGTAGTATATTTTCGTTTTCAACAACTTTTGAAGCACTAATGCCACTTGGTGCTGCTCCACTGTATACGATTGTGTACAAACATACGCTCGAGTATAGCCCGGGAACGTTTAGCTGGATCAGCGCTGGGGTCTATGGCTTGTGTTACTGTTTGACTATGTAGGTTGAGAGTATGCGGAAGGAGTGCTGATATTTAGCTGACATTTTTGTTTTAATTTCAGGAGCGTCTGCATCCTACAATCCATGAGTAGTAATTCCCATTACCCATCCATAGACTGATAGATAGTTTGTTACTATTGTGTTCTAGTGTGATATTGTTAGCCATACTTAGAAAGTGTTTATAAATGGAGCATGCAGAAATAAACCACATAATGTCATACTGAAATTGTGCTTTTCTTTCGGGGCTTAAATCCGCTGCGATGGGTAATTTGATCTATTGTGAGGGGGGCGACACATCTAAAATGGCATTTAGATAGCAGCCAAGATGGAAGTCCTTTTTTGGATTAGTGTAATGTTGTCAGATTTCTGTCCACCTTTCGCTTTCGTATTCGCTAGATAAAATGCATTTTGAGGTAGATATCAGCACAGTATTCAGGATTTTGTGAGAATACCTATTCGAGTGTGGGTGTGGTGAGAATTTTTTTTCGCAATAATTAATGAATGAATGTGATAAGCATTATTTTATCATATTACGCGATATACTGTGTAATTTGGACAGAATATCAGCAGTGATAAGTGTTATTATCAGATCCACGGCTGATCACTATTGAGATTAATCATCACTTTTAGCAGTTCTCGGAGACTCTGATAGTATAAGAATAATCGCGCTGGACTCGAACGAGTTTAGATCAGTTGAATATTGTATGCCTATGACTTTACTTTCGAGGACTTACTGCAGCAGGAGTACGTTCAGTTGTTCGCTGAAAAACAGGACAGTACCTGATGGTTGATAAGTTGAACAAGTGAATTGTATGGTACCACCTTCGAGAATCTGCTGGAAAACTACTCAATGGGATAATTTTGGAAGAGTCAAAACCGGTGGAAGTTGCTGCCAACAAGAAGTCATGGATTTGATCGAGGTATGGTTCCACAAGTAACCAAAAGTTCTGATAAAAGGCTATTTGTGGCTCAACCAGTTAAGCAGCTTGGATGAAGGTGGTCTATAGAATTATAAGCAGCCTCATTTTTAATCGTTATAAGAACTAGAAAGTTCCGGTACCAAAATTGATGAGCATTCTAAGCAGCTTCTGGCGGAACTTGAACAGAACTTTTAGAAAATAAATTAAAAAAGGTTTTTGTCCTCTACACCAACTCTATATTTAAGTTCGCAGTTATATGAAAGTTATTTCTAAAGGCAGGTTTTGATTGTATTGATTTTTTTTTTTTTTTTTCCTTTGGTTTGTTTTTCGTCGATCTTGTTTTCCGTGCTGGGCACCAATGCTACCGACACGCCAGGAAGGCAGCTCCCACACCTGGACCCTACCTATTGACCCATCAACTCATGAACCGGGGACCAACGGCTTTACTTCCCATCCGAAGGAAGGCATCAGAGATGTTATGCCTCAGAACATCCCGGCGGCGCCGACTGGGATTGAACCCAGGCCTGCTGGGGTGAGAGGTAAACACGCTTACCACTACACCACCGGCGCCGTTGATGTGTATTGATTTATCAGCATTAGTAGCAGAATTGGAGTTTTTTGTAGAATTAACCCAGTCCTTCTGCGTGAGAGCCCCAGCACGAACCGCTACGTCATCTGAGATATATTAAAGTGAGCTGTTGTCTCGCCTACTCTTGGAGTTTTCAGTGCCAGCTGACTGATTTGAATATGAAACACAACACCTTGATGAATTGTAAATTGGTTTAGTTGAAGATGCTAATTTCATATAACAGACTGTAGTGGTAATTTTTAAACGATAGATGGAGTAGATGAAAGCATAGAGTTGATAGTTTCGTTAGAGAACGGCAGTGTGAAGATTGCATATAGATATTAGAATAGCGAGCTAGGACAACTTTTAAGGAATGTACAAATCGGTTTTTTCATCTCGCTTTACCAAACTCCCCCTTTGAAGAGGGATGATGAGGGGTGTCACAGCCTCCAATGCAAATAATTCAGCAGCCAAGTAGACAGGGGCACCAGTACCAACAGGCTCGGTGTAGTCGTCCTTCCTGAGCTCACAATGGATGCGACCGACGTGGAACTGCAGTCGAGTGAAGTTGGAACGAAATTTCGCCTTTTACCGACCGATACGAGAATAATGTGGACAACGGAGAGGTAAAAATTTCACCTTTTACCGCTGGCGATGCTGTTGCTACTGCTTGCTGCTGGTACCTTGAGCGAAAATGAGTGGAGGTGTGACAGCAGTGCTCTTTTATAATTTAACACTACTGCGACTGCGATTTCCTTAAGGTAAAAGTGGATCACTTCAGAATGACTCGATTCATCGATTTTTTTTTTACAAAATAACGCAACACTCAATCTTAAAAAAAAAAAACCTTCCGTGCAAATTTAAAGAACTCAATTTGCTATCGCTAGAAATTTTTACAAGATTGATTTTTTGTTTAAATTTTCTGAAAACCGTTTTCTAAGTTCAATTTTAGGTTCACAATCATAGTGTTTGCAAACTTTGCTCATAAATTACACAAGTATTTAGTATGAAAGGTCATATTTGACTTCCATAGATAGTTTCATAATATTGTTAGGAACATTTCCTCCCAAGACAAAGTACCTGGTAAATGCATTATTTCGATCTCTCGATGTGTTTTCTTCCGTCGATCTTGTTTTCCGTACTGAAGTACCAATGCTACCGACGTCAGGGAGGCAGCTCCCACCCTGAACCCTAGCTAACCGACCCATCAACTCATGGACCGAGGACCAACGGCTTTACTTCCCTTCCGAAGGAAGGCGTGATCAGAGATTTTATGCCTCAGAAAATCCCGACGGCGCCGACTGGGATTGAACCCAGGCCCATCGGGGTGAAAGAGGCAATCATGCTTACCACTACACCACCGGCGCCACTGAATGCATTATTTCAATACAAACAATTTTTTTCGTAACGCAACCCCAAGCATTGGATATCGTTTTACTAAACAAGCAACTGGCTTTTGCATGTATCTGTGCGTAAGCAGTCTCCAGGTGGAAGAACAATGTGATTTGGAACGCTCGCACAAAACAGAGAAGCGAAAAGAAGCCACACGAATGAATGAATTGGCAAGAAAACCATGAGCACCGAGAGCATGATCAAGCTCGTGCGTGACGTTTTTCGTTCGTAATAATTGATGCATATTGTAAGATTTCTTTTGGCATTTCGATTCGAAATATTCTGCGAAAATAATCAATAATTGAAAACGGATGTAACAATTATTCGGCAATGTTATCTATGCGCTATTGCAGGAACTCCTTGATGAAAGTGCTTGAAAATAAATAGTTAAAATAATGCTAAATTGAGAGTATTCCTGAATCCTGTTGGATAAGCGTGTATTTATGAAATAATTAAATCTATTCAAGTGTGTGTGTGCGTAAGCTAATTGCTAAAAAACCGTTGATTTAGAAGTCAAGCGTGAAATCAAAAGGTTCCTCAATTTTCAGAAGTTGTTTTACAAGTATTTGATGACCTTCTGTGAAAATTTTAGCCTTTTTGATGGAGGTATTCTGATACATCTGGATATTTTTAAAGATAATTAGATGCATTGAACTATTTTAGAAATCAACCACCATGCCCACCATTGCCAAATAATACATTTTTCAACCAAATTAATCCTCAATTTTCACAAGTAGTTTCACAAGTAATTGAGGATATTCTGTTACAATTTCAGCCTATTTGATGGAGGTATTCTGATATATCTGGATATATTTGAACTTCGGCATCAGTTCCCTGAACTTCATCAGGACGTCCCTGATTTTCACTTTTTCGAAGTTCAGCAGGCCTTCCCTGAACATTGGTAGGACTTTTCTGAAGTTCGGCAAAACTTTTCCTGAACTTTGACAGAACTTCTCTGAACTTCGGCAAGACTTCCCTGAACTTCAGCAGGACTTTTTGAACTTCAGCTGGACTTCCCTGAGCTTTGGCACGACTTCCTTGAACTTCGTAAAGACTTCCCTGAACTTCAGCAGAACTTCTGTGAGCTTCGGAAGGACTTTCCTGAACTTTGGCAGAACTTCCCTGAATTTTGGCAGGACTTCCCTGAAATTCGGCAGAACTTTTGGCAGGATTTCCCTGAAGTTCAGCAGTCACTCCCTGAACTACGGCAGGCCTTTTATGAACTACGGCAAGACTTCCCTGAACTTCAGTAGGACTTCCCTGTCCTTTGGCAGGCCTTCCCTGAACTTGGAATCTTGGAACTGAAGTTGTCATACAATATTATTGTATTTACGAATATGGTTAAAATTTCAATACTTCCCATTTCGCTTATTTACAATATTTGTTAGTATTGGTGCATTTTGAATTAGGGTGTGGTTCGAACGGGTGTAGGGTCAGTATTAACGAAAAAGCGTTAACTTTCACCTTAAGAAAAACGAGGACAAAATTAACAATTTTTATTTGTAAAATTTTCAAAAGTTTTTTACGAAAAATTGGAATGGTATTTAATTAAGCAGATCCATAGAATTATTTCCTATCAATTTGTGTGTTTGGATTTTAATTTCATTTATAAATGACACAGTTATTAGCGTTTAAAACCGTTTCGCGAACTTTAGATTTTCGATTTACCCCATGAACCTTCACGTAAGACGTACACACTTAGTTTTTTCGACCGAGCTCGGCTGTGCAAATCTCGGTAAAAATAAGTTTCACTGAGATCTCAGCAAAAGTTACATTTGATTGCTGAGTCTCGGATAATGCTTAGCTGAATCTCAGCAAACAAATGAAATGTTTGCTGAGATCTCAGTAAAACTTGTTTTGCCGAGATTTGCACAGCCGAGCTCGGTAGAAAAAAACTTAGTGTGTAGTCTACGTCCAAAAAGAGACGCATTTCGTAGTTGCTGACCAGAACCAGTGAAATTGCTCAAAGTCCACATATAGATGGAGCTTAGGACTAGAATTTCCATCATCAAAGTGCACAGAAGTTCACTAATTCATTTTATTTATAGATCAGTACCGACCGCTGGCCACGTCCTCGCGGTCTTTGTGGAGGGAAAGGACGATTAGTTTGAAACTCCCTTGTTACTGTAAATCACTCCTTCTTCATTGCATTAGCTTATTGCGTGCTCTAAACATACACGGGAAAAAATCCGATCTCCTAAATGAGAAAAATGACTCATGATTTCACGAACAAAGCGTATTTTCATGTTATGAATATACACCATGAATAATATTCATGATATCATGAGCAACTTTTGCGTAACGCAGCAAACATTCCCAAAACCATGAATCATCCGAGTTGAAATCATGAATAAAATTCATGGGTTTAACTTTTAATCAAAAAATGTAAAAAGAATAAAATAAAGCAACATAATGGATTCGAACCAAGAACCTTGAGATCATTAAACTCATTCTTTGAACACTAAACTATAAGTAATTGTATAAGATGGAAGACAAAAGGCGTATAAGAGATACCTATGTAGTGCGTTTTATGAACACGGTTTGCCAAGTACGTGTAACGCTTGTAGCGGTCTTGATTCCACTGCATTATGAAACCATGAATTTCCATGACGAAATCATGAATCATTGTTACAATTTTATGGGATGGCAAGTTTTTTCATTTCATGATTTTTTATTCATGAAAATAAAATCGGATTTGTTTCCGTGTAGTGTTCTAAAATGCACTTCCACAATTAGCATTTTTCCGTTAGTAAAATTGTGTGTCAAGTACAATCATACCCTATATGCCCAGGAAGTCGAGAAATTTTCCAACTCGAAGAATTCCTAGACCGGACCGGGCATCGAACCACCTCCATGCAAGTATGGTCTTGCTTTGTAGCTGCACCTTCACCGACTGAGCTAAGGGTGGTCCCAAAACTGTAAACCTCTGCATCTCCACTATTCCCGGGAAGGATAGTTGTGTTTATTTTTAGATCAGGATGCACCTTTGGTAAGTGATGCGATCAGTGAAAGCAGCAGACTATTTTTTAATTTTAAATCTAGTGTGGATAGAATAAGGCATAGTGACGAATTGCAAGGAATGGGAAGGGTCTGGGATTGAACTCCCGACCTTCTGCTCAGTAAGCAGAAACGTTAACCACCACGTTACCGAGTCGTGTTTAAGATCCAATTAATTCAGTTTCTTCATGAAAAACAGTATATCCTCAACTGATGAAATTTTTCTAACAGACGAGCTATTTGAGTTCCAAACTAGTACCCAGTAGCTTTAACCTACAACTTGTAGTTGAAGTCTCTTGAGATAATCTCACAGCTCAAAACTGCGATGCCCTTTTCCATCATCGCCAAAAATTCTCGCGTAACATTTGAAAAGTGTCTATCCTCGTTGATCGATTCTCTTCATCGACTTTCTCTTTAGTTTACCACGGCAACTTAAATGAATTTTGATTTGCCTAGTTCGACAGAAGATGATGTTAGCTTGCGCCTTAAACAACACACCCAATAGGAAATGCATTGGCAGTCGGGTTATTTGCGGAAGAGAAAATCGATGAAGAGAATCGATCAGCAGTGATAGGCCCTTTTCTCGTGTTGCGCGTGAATTCATCCCTGGCCAATGCAATGCACCAAAACCGGCAAACTTCTAGAAGATAACCTTCTTCGTATGATAACTCGGGATGCACTGCCGATTGATTCGACACACTTCCTACCAGTTCGCACTTTAGTCTACTGGCGACGGTTGCAATGGACGAAACTACGTTCAGCTCGGGAAGCATGTACTCCAGCGGCGAAGAGGAGATTCTGGCCAGTGAAGGCCTGCGTCTAAGTCGATCGGCCCGTTGGCGTGAGCGAAGCAGCCGTCACGTGAACTTCGAACCGGCAGTGTTCTTGTTTTGCTTTGCCTTAGGTTTGTCAGGTGAGCTGGAGATGGCTTTGATGGCTGGTTGAGGAAATGTAGGTCATGGTTGGATCGGTTTCTTTCAGAAATTGAACTGTCCCATCAGATTATCTATCAGACGTGTTGTGTGCAAGGATTTCAGCGAAATGACTGTATGCTGTTAGGGACGGATGCAAACCTGCCGGGCGTTCAGGAGATAGAAGCACAGGTTAAACCAGCGGCTGCAAGTGTGAATACGGTGATAATAGCTATCAAGACGGTGATACCGGCTTTCGGCGCGTTAGTTATGGGAGCGTGGTCCGATCGCTATGGAAGAAAGCCCGTTGTAGTGATAGCCGGCTGTGGTACGCAACTGATTGCGTCCATATTGTTGGTGTAATTAAAATTTAATTTGGATCTCTTTTAGGTTTGCTTCTGACTTACTTTGCTTTGACAGGGTTGAATTTCCTGTCGTCGTTTGTGCAAATCAACCCATGGTATTACGTTCTGGCTTATATTCCGTTTTCCATCCCAGGAGGAATGGCTGTTCTAGGGGCAACAATTTATGCATTCATTTCGGATGTGTCCAACGATCAGAACCGTACTATTAAGATGGGATTCATGAAAGCTTGTATAGTAGCTGGAACCACGCTGGGATCTTTCAGCTGCCGGTACATCCTCGAGTGGACCAGCACGACTGCCGTGTTTGTGATGGCAACTATTTGCATACTGCTGGGACTTACCTACATCGTGCTGTTCGTTGAGGATAGCATCATTTCCAGTGCTGACGGTGATCTTGGAAGTAGTCTGGATGCGATGTTCTCCTTTGGCTTGATTACAGACCTAACGCAGGCTGCCGTTCGGAAGAGATCGAGATTCGTTTGGCTCATTTTGTGGTTGATCGTTGGCTTTGCTGTCGTGGTGGAGTTTGGTGCTGGTAGCAACATCGTTACATATACTTTCGCGCATAGAAAGTTGGAGTGGAGCAGGAAGCAGTATAGCTACTTTCTCCTAACGGAGAGCGGTTTGAACATTTTTGCAAATGTATTTGGGATCATTTTACTGAATAAGGTAATATATGAGTAAATGGATTAGAATTATTCTCAATGATCAAGATTCCGTTTAACAGTTCTTCGATTGGCCAGATTCGCTAGTAGCCCTGGTGTCGGTCATCAGTCACATCATATGCTCAACGATCAAAGGATTTGCAACAGTTGGGTGGCAATTTTATATGGCAACCGGGCTAACCATTTTCAAAGGGATGGAAGAAGTGGCACTGCTGTCGGTTTGCGCTTACCTGCTGCCATCGAATGATATTGCCAAGTTCTACGCTCTTGCGATGTCCATTATTGGACTGGTTCCTCTTGGATCGGAGTCACTTTTCAGTTATTTCTATCAGGAGACGGCTGGCAGTGATCCAGGCATGTACAACTTTTTGAGAGCCGGAATCTATGGAGCAGGATTATTTGTTCTTGCGTAAGTTGAGCAGTATTTGATTTGAGTTTTTTTTTATAGTGATCTCTTTTTGTTTTCTCTATTTTCAGTATTATCCAATGGCTGATGAATAAGCGAAACCAACCTGAACTACTTTTGTAGATGGATTTATTGAGCAGTTCCACGGTAACTGACGATTGAATGTTTCCCTCTCTAAATTCCATGAAACTGCGCATAATTTTTCTTTAGGGGCAATGGACTTAGTTTGGCAGGAATTCGGCCATTTTGAAATTACGTCTGAGACAAAGTTGTAGAAAACTGGTTTGCATTTTTAGAAAGAAAAAATCAAACTCTCGTCAAAATGTGAAAAAATAGGGTAAAAATTTCAATAACAAAAAAAGTACATTTTTAAGATTTTGAAACTAATGTTGAAAGCTTATAAAAAATGATAATTTTTCAAAATATGAAAATGCATCTACAATACTAAGTTGAGGGCACACAATAAGCTAATATGCGATAAGAAATAAGCTTGAAATTCAAAGAAGAAGAAGAAGAAGAAGTCAAAATTACCGAATGGCCGATACACAAGCTTTGTTCTTTTCCTCGATGTTTCATAGAATTCTGAAACGTAAAATCTTTAACATGTTTTTGCTTCACTATTTGCCGTGGAACTGCTCTATTGTGGTTTTACTCCTTGAGATGTGGCAATGATTTTTTAATATTCAAATGATGATTTTTTATCGTAAAACAATTAGTCAATCCTTTTAATAAAAAAATTTAATCCTTTTTTAAATCCGCATATGATATCTGTTATCCGATGGAAAATTGATTACTTGTTCTCCAATACGATGAATACGCTTTGTAACGCTTCACGAAGGATGCGTAACCGGTCTTCAAACAACGAGAGCGAGGAGTACTCGGATTGTTGGATTCTCAAGTTCACGCGAAAAGTATGCCCTGATTCCGTGCCGGCACAAATGTTTCCTCACGAAACGACGAAATCTGTAGACGAGATCAGCCAACCTTTTATAATGCTGGAGCTGTCACTCACGCTCGTTTCGTATTACAATTTGGCTCCGGGGGCTGATAGGATCAAGCTCAACTTTTTGAAGAACCTCCCAGATGTCGGTAAGAGGCGCATGTTGAACTTGTTTTGTCAGTTCCTTGAGCTCAATATTGTTCCTGATGATTGGAGGCGAGTAAGAGTTATAGCCATTAAAAAATCAGGAAATTCCGCGCAGATCATAACTCGTATCGTCCCATCGCGATTCGTACATTCGAAAATTGTTGGAGCAAATGATCCTTTTTCGCCTGGACAAATGGGTTGAGATGAACCACCTACTCTCATATCCCAAGTAACCATTTTGGTTTTATGAGGGTTCTGTAGACCATGATTTAGACTTGTAGAATGATATAAAACCGTGATAAAACCTGCAATGTTACTTGGGATACTCTATTAGGTTTTCGTAGGAACAAGGGAACGAGCGATTGTCTCGCGTTGCATTCCACAGAAATTCAGTTGGCTTTTGCTAAAAACGAGCAAATGGCTTCTGTGTTTTTGGATATAACATTTTTTTGTACAATTTGCTGTCAGAGAAACATACGAGCTTTTCTCAAGGAAACTCTACAGCTTCACGATTCAGCTACATGAGTCTCCCCCAGGGCTCATGTTTAAGCCCCCTTTTGTATATTTTCTACGTCACAGAAATTGACAATTGTCTAAGTGACAACTGCACGTTGAGACAACTTGCAGATGACGGTGTAGTGTCAAAGACAGGGCCCAAATGGGTCGACCTGCAAGGACCCTTACAGGATACTTTAGATAATTTGTCTACTTGGGCTATCCAGTTAGGTATCGAATTCTCCACGGAGAAAACTGAGTTGGTCGTTTTTTCTAGGAAGCATAGCCCAGCACAACAGAAGCTTCAACTTTTGGGTAAGCCGATCACTCATTCCATGTCTTTCAAATATTTTGGGGCCGATTCCAATTGCACCTGGAGATCCCACATTGAGTATCTGAGACGCAAACGTGGTGGGGAGTCCATCCGTAAGATCTTCTAACGTTGCACCGGACAATGATTTTATCGGTTTTAGAGTACGGTAGTTTCTGCTTCCAGTCGGCGGCTAAAACGCACATCATCAAACTGGAGCGGATCCAGTATCGAAGTGTTGGCGGGCATGTTGCCACTATCGAATCGGTTTTCGGAATTGTCCCTCAGGCTCCTCACCCGTTGTGAAGTTATGAACCCACAGGTAATCGATAACTTTGAGAAGCTTCTTAAGCTAAACCCTCAAACTCTTTTATGTAATTTTACTACGAGTACATAACACAGGATGTTAGCCCTTCACAGAACAAACCTCATCGTGTATGCTTCTCCGACTTCGGCAATTCAGTTAGTTTTGAATTATCTATGACGCAAGAGATTCGCTGAATCCCAGAACATCATCGTTCCATGATTTCCGCTTCATCATGGCCCAATAGGTTTCGATTATAGATACTATAGATTCCATAGATAAACGGAAGCTCAAAAAGTTGTTTTGGCAACCTTGAAAAATAAATGATCTTACTGGCATCCGTGAAAAAAGTTCATGCCATCATAGCTCGTCGTTGTGCAGTTTTGTTTTGCAACAATGAATCGAGGAATAGATTGCTTTATCTTTCCTTCTTCCGTTGTCCGCGAAATAAATTGGAATGTGGAGTGTGGAAAGCGTTTTGTGCTCATAATATTACAATACTTCTCCTTCAAACAACACCATTATGACGTTATGCTCGTTTGGCTACACTAACTGACAGTTCGTTTGGCAACATTATACTTTGCCGCCGCTTATCTATGGAATCTATAGTATCTATAGTTTCGATCGGACGGAGTTCAGGACAGGTTCATGTCTGTTTATAGGTCTCATCATCAATAACGCAGGGTGCACGATTTGGCAAGCAACACTCTGCTGGCGTTCGTCCCGATTTAAAAAGTTCTCCACTTTTTATGGTTTCAATCCAAGTCGTTTCTTGGCCCTCTGGACGAAACTTTGCGAACTATAAAGTTTTTTGGCCAAGTCCCGCGTCGAAATGTTCGGATTCTGCTTAAAATTTGTAATCAGTGCTTTCTCAATTTTTTTTGCGCGTTGTTCCCGGGGTTCGTCCAGCTCCGACTGTCATCCGTTCGTGGAACTTTTGGATTTTTGGTGAACAAAATCCTTTCGTGAATGGTTTGCAGATTTTCTTCCATCTCTACCGGAATCTCACTGACAACTGCACAACAATTTGGTTAATTTCGGTCAAGGATGAAAAAAGCTACGCAAGTTTGAAAGTAAGCAATAATTATCGACTCACCTAAATATTATATGCTAAAACTCTAAATGTAAGCCTTCTTCACGGCTTATCCAGATTCCAACACATAATAAATACGTTTAAAATTTCGGAACTGACTTCTCTATTAGTTGCATAAGCAACATCTTATAGTTTCGTTTTCCTTTACCAAGTATCTATTGCGATGCCACGTCGGCCGCAACCACTGGAAGAAGACAGCCTAGAACAGAATTGTCCTCTCTGTGGGTTGCCTGATGCTAGCCAGATGGTCAGCTGCAAAGAGTGCCAACGGTGGTTTCACTTTGTCTTCGCTGGTGTGAATGACGCCCTTGCTGATTACGATTGGAGCTGTCAGAGATGCCATAGCGCCAGATTCCCTGCTCCATTATCAACTGCGTCATTCTTGATGCCACCAGTACATATACTAGCCGGTGAATCCGAAACGCAGCCTTTAGTACCACCTCTAGTCTCGCTTCCACCAGGAGGACCAAGTACGTCCTATGAAGCTCCCGTTTGTGAATGCCCAAGAAGTGAAGCATACGTTCCACCAGTCATCCAGACGAGATCGACCTATAATAGGGCTTACGATCCTATGTATACCTGTGGTATTCACGTATACTTTCTGCAGATTGAACCAATCATGACAACTGCCCCGTCCGTACCAACATTACAACCGAATCCTGTTTCTCGGATGCATATGCATTTGAGGCTCCGTTACCTGGAAGAAGAACAGGCTCTCGAAAGGAGACATCTGCTACAACGGTACCGTTTATTTATGAACGCACCACAAGTTGAGTCGCCAATTACAACAATTCCACTGGTTGGATTACACAGCAGTGATTCAGCACACCCAACCAGTCAGCATCAGTCATTCCCGGATTTTCCACGAGTGCATGTTGTGCAATCACCTCCCGCTACAGTTATTAAAAAAACCCACAGTACCATTCTTTCCCGGTTTAAAACTCACGAAAGTCTAGCAGGCCGCTTCAGATTGGTATCAGTTCGCAGTTCCAATCTTCACCAGTACAACAAACTCGTCCAAGCATTCCAGGATTCTGTAATGAAGATCATCTGCAAGCAACTGGATTCGGTAACGAATCAGCTTTATTCAATAGAAGTCAAATTGCTGCGCGCCAAGCCGTATCTAAGGACCTCCCGGAGTACAATGGTGATCCGGAACAGTAGCCGTTATTTATTGCTACATTTGACAGTATAACACGTATTTGTGGCTACACACGGAAGAAAATATGATATGGTTACAGAAATGTCTCAAGGGCAAGGTACTCGAAGCAGTGAGGTGTCAGCTGTTACACCCGAGGAACCTAGAAAACGTTTTGGCAACCCTCAAAATGTTGTTTGGCCGTCCCGAGATTATAGCTTATTCCCTCATACAGAAGATTCGGCTCCTGCCAGCACCAAAAGCTGAGAAACTTGGCTCACTGGTCGACTTTGCTATCGCCATGAGGAACAAGCGACAGTGCAAAACTGTGATTTGGAAGAGCATCTCTGCAACATCTCCCTTCTACAAAGTCTTGTGGATCGCCTACCACCCATGATCGGCCTCAACTGGGCAACTCACCGCCAGAATCTGTACCGAGTTACACTCTCAAAGCTCAGCGACTGGCTGTATAATCTCGCTGAGGCGGCTAGTAGTGTAACGATCCCACAAATTCAGAGTCTTCCTGAAAAGCTCCGGCATCCACGAAAGGATGACGGTTGTTTGAATGCTCACACTGAAACTGCTCCGAAACCAGAGGTGGATTCAAATGGTTTAATCAATTCAAGCACTTGTGCCGTTTGTCAAGTAAAGTGTAGCGGTAGAATACCGCAAACAGTTTTTAATTCTCGACCATCCTTCGCGGTGGAA